GGTAGACATACAGTAACCTGGTTGATGGCTGGACAGAGTGCTTTCATTTTAGCATCTGTTTGGTCTTTCGTTTCGTTTATTTTTATTTTTATTTTTTTTATATTTTTATTTGTGAGTTGATGAAAAACTTAGAGACAAGTTAAGCTTTTAAAATCTAACGTGGTTTGTGGAGATTAAAGGATTACGAGCAAGCTGTACGACTGACTGTAAGGGTGCGCTGGAATATTTTCAACGTATCTCGCAAAGATGGAGGCTCTTTTAAAACACCTTTACAAAATACTCCAGAAATTTAAGAAAAATGTGTGGGAGTTTTTTTGTGTCTGTCTCTAATGATATGTTTGACAAACGAAGTTAGTTTTTTGTGTTGTGTAGCATTCATACCCAGCGTAACATAAAGCCTCCACGTTTTTCTTTCTCCCACTGCTAGCATAGGGGAGACAGGATTATGCTACGTAAACACTAATTAAAGTAATTAAAGATTATCCTCTCCACCTGACAAATCCAAACATACCCCCATGGTATCGTTAGGGTGTACTGCCAGAACATGTAAAAATATAATTAGCTGCGCAATTTTTCTATTTTACAATCTATTTTTTAAAACAAATATTTTTATGAGCGTTGTTTTTAAGCGTTGTCAGATGATATATCGCACAGCCATTGTGCAACCCTGTGTATGGGGGAGGGGGGTATGTGACAACCTCTGGGTTCCCCTGTATGCACATCTGTCTGCAGCTACCCTAGGAAATAAAACAGAAACTAATATCGGGTTATTGGATTACACAATGTCACCACGCCACATTACACAATTATCATGCATGGTATTGTGTAAGGGGGGGGGGAGGTACATAAGTGGCAATACAATTGTCATTGACGCTACAGTGTCAATTTTTTGGTACACGTATAATCACGCAGTGGATATTTTTGTAAATATTGACCCGTCATCCACGTGACCAAGGATAATTTGACCACGTGATTATGTATATATAGTTACTTGTTAATACACGAAGAACAAAACATCACCAAGAAAACATCAACCAAACACCGCCAGTAGAACTTTCCTTGAAAATATCACAAATAAAACACCGCAAAATTACTCCGCCTACATAATATTCTCACGATTGTTATTTTCACATATTTAAAGGCCTTCTCCGAGATAATCAGTGGTTAAATTTCACTTGTACTGTCCACCGAACTGTATCGTATTTATCGTATAAAGTTTAAAATCAAAACTCTCTTCAACTTCAGTACATTAAAATAGTTTTTTTTTTCTAAGCAAGAAAATTCGGACGAGATAAAGTTTTGTACTCGTGATAGATTGTGCTTTACAAATATTTGATTTGGTTGAGATTTGTGGATGAACTGTTTCAGTACTCTGCTAGTCGATGAAACGAATAGTCCGTCTATTTTTTCGTCCGTCTGGAATAACATTTCCCCATCAGACTGGTTGAGTTAGTTTCTGAATAAGTCAGTCTACACACACGCGCGAGTACTGAATGGGGTAGGGCTGTCTTGTTTTTACTGGGATATTTTTTTACTGGAAGGTTTTTTTTTACCTAAAAATAATTTGTTATGAGAGATGAAAACATACGGTATAGGGCTTGTAAGTAGGTCAATAAACAGTTATATGGCTCATGCAGGTTTTATTGAGCCGTAGAACTGTTTATTGACCTACTTACCAGCCCTATAGTGAAGAGCTGGGTTCTACGGGATTAAAAAAATAAATCACGTTTTGCAAGGGGAGGGGGTGGGGTATGGGCTAGCTGTTGAGTATTTTAAAATGTATGCCATTTTCGTTTGATACATAGCGTAGTTTATAATCAAAGTAAACAGTGAAGTCTCCGTTGTGTGATTTTTTTTTATTATAGTCATATGAAATGAGCGGAAATACATGTATTATCAACACAAAGGCTCAACTATCCTCACACTCCTCACTATCTCTCTCTCTTCCTATCTCTCTCTCTCGCCCCACCCTTTCTCTCTCTCCCCCTCTCTCTGGGGCAGGTCTTGATGGCGTCCATTTCCTAGTGACAACACACCCAGGACACCCGCGTACGGGCCCACAGACTCGCCTGGCATTGATGAGTCCCGCTGATACTAAATGTCAAGGTCACAACGGTCGAACTATGCCGTCGGGTTTTCTCCCCCCCCCCCCTCTCCCCTTCACTAGGAACTGTAGTTGCAGCGTCCGTCTCCTCCTCGATTTGGCAACAAACTTTGAGTACGTGTCCGGTGTAGCAGCCGAATGTCCGTTCTCAGACAGCAGACAGCAAGTGTACCCCCATTGTGGATGGAAAACCCCGCTAGTACCGTAATGCTTCTAATTGCCCCTAAAATCTAAGTTGTATCAACTCTATTAAAATGAAAGTAATAGCACTAATGCTTAGAGTAATTCTAAAATATAATATTAATGATAAGCTTATACTAACAACAGTAGCAGTAACCCGGTGTTTAGATTTGAAATCTCTGACTGGTGACGGTAAGGTTACACAACGTGAAGTGAACTCTGACCTGAATTGAAACGATAAATAAAACATGGGGGCGTGGCGAAGGACTGACCATAGCGTGGTCACACTTGAAGGTATCCAACGTGACAAAACCGTTAAGTAAACGTGGCCCAACCTCTTGACGTGACACGTTCTGTTGGTTTTGTGTGAGTGCCTTCTATCCCAGAATTCAACAGAGGCGCGTGAATAATGAATGTTCTAGTCTAAAGATAGGTACCGTAAAACTTGTGTATGTGAGTCTAGTCTAAAGATAGGTACCGTAAAACTTGTGTGTGTGTGTGTGAGTCTAGTCTAAAGATAGGTACCGTAAAACTTGTGTATGTGAGGCTAATTTAAAGATGGGTACCATAAAACTTGGGTGTGTGAGTCTAGTCTAAAGATAGCTACCGTAAAATTTATTTGGCACTAGTCTATTGATAGGCACCATTGTAGTTGTTAGTGGTACTAGCATACAAATAGGCAATATCACAGAAAGCAACTATGACATACTAGTTATGTTAACTATTGCACGTTCGCACCTAGGTCAGGTAAAACAACTATAACTCATAAGCGCGTAGTTTTACAACTCGCTGATCGTGAAAGTCAGTGACCGAGACAGAAGAAAATGATGGTCTCTCGACCCACCTGTCTATTTATTACCTGTTGGGCTCACCTTTAGTGAGGACTTACAGATGGGAGTTATCTCTCTTTCATCCCCGCGACGCTCCTAACCCGAAACAAATTTCTAAAACAAACAAACACACGTAACATAAATTTCCTGTACATATGGTACTGCAACACAAAAAATGGACACGTTTTCTTTGATAGTTACTACATAATCTATTTTGTTAGCTGTTTTCCTGTAGTAAAGGTTGTTGTTTTTTTCCCATCCAATTTAGTGTTCTCAAACACCAGTTTAAAGCATAACTTGTGTATTTATGTTTGTACTCAACCGTCAACAGTACCCATGACTATGTCCCAACTATCTTCATTTCCTTAATTCCTGCGCCTCATCTTTATTTTCCTATCCCTCACCCCCCCCCCTCGTCACCACCCCCCCCCCCCCCATCACTCACCTCCCACACCGCCTTTCATCTTTCTCACCATTTACATAACTCACATTCCTTCAAATTCTTCCCTTCTCCAATCCGCCTCAATTTTCAACGCTCCTCTCCGTTTTACTCTCCTCAATGTTTTCTCATCGACCTCTTATAAAAATTCATTACTAAAATCTTCGTACTCTTTTACTTCTTACGTGCAACCCCTCATCCTCCCTCACACTCTCTTCCATTCCCTCTCTATCCCCCTACCTCCATCATTCCCTCCCTATCCCTTACCTACATCCTTCCCTCCATATCCCTTTACCTCCATCATTCCCTCCCTATCCCTTACCTCCATCCTTCCCTCCATATCCTTTTACCTCCATCATTCCCTCCCTATCCCTTTACCTCCATCATTCCCTCCCTATCCCTCTACCTCTATCATTTCTTCCCTATCCCCCTACCTCCACCCTTCCCTCTCCCCCCCCCCCCCCTTACAACCAACTCCCCATGGATCTATACGCCATGAAATTACCTCCTAACTATCACCAAATCGTCATCTTTACCCTCTCGTCTCGACTATTCAAACCTTTGAGTGCTCTCCTACAGAAGGAAATTATTTATATTTCCCCAAATTGTCCTGTTTACTCTTGAAATATTCGTTTTTCTAAACCTATTTGTCACGTGATTTGAGGCTTGTCATGGAGTTGTATAGTTGGAGATTCGAGTCCCACTATGTTGGGTTATTACACCGAGTAGACACTCAAGATCAATAACTAACCAAAATATCAATTTTTTTTATTCAAAAGTTTAGGTAATTTTTTTTTTGAGGTTATATTTCTGTGACAATTCGGAAAATAGGAGTTGGGTTGGGTAATGGAACAAAATGTAACCGTTGGTTTAGATAGGAGCGTGATTGTTGTTTTTCTGGTGAAGTAGTGTTATAGATAGTAGTGTGGTTGTCGGTAGTTTTGTAGTGTTATAGTTAGATGTGTGGTTGTCGTTTGTAGTGTTATAGATAGTAATGTGTTTGTCGGTAGTTTGGTGGAGACGTGTTATAGATAGTAGTGTGGTTGTCGATTGTCTTGTAAAGTATCGTTATAGATAGTAGTGTGGTTGTCGATTGTCTTGTAAAGTATCATTATAGATAGTAGTGTGGTTGTCGATTGTCTTGTAAAGTATCGTTATAGATAGTAGTGTGTAAACACGTTGTAATGTACGTCGCGACTAAGATATAAATCTTTACCAAGGATAAAATGGTGAAATAGGTGCCCGGTAGTTTGTGCGATATGTTTAACATTACTGAACACAGCGACAACTAAACGTCAACATATGTGACATGGAAAACAGCTACATTAGAAAACGTTACAGTTTGACCACCAGCATGTTAAATATACGTGCACCCCTCCCCCTTTCCCCACCAACAGACATGTGCATTGACGTGTGTCTAACGGGTTCTCACCTTTGTTTATTTCAGACCTTGACCTCAAGCTGTTCCAGGATGGGACCTCACACCCCAAGTACTACCGCTACCTCACCATAGACCTCGAGTCTAACTTCTTGTTCGTCGGCGCCATGTGAGTACTCACCCAGCTGTCTGTGTGTGTTTGGGCGTGCTCGTGTGTATGTGGGTTTATGAGTGAGTGCAAATGTGTATGTGGGTTTATGAGTGAGTGCAAATGTGTATGTGGGTTTAGGAGTGAGTGCGAATGTGTATGTGGGTTTATGAGTGAGTGCAAATGTGTATGTGGGTTTATGAGTGAGTGCAAACGTGTATGTGGGTTTATGAGTGAGTGCAAACGTGTATGTGGGTTTATGAGTGAGTGCAAATGTGTATGTGGGTTTATGAGTGAGTGCAAATGTGTATGTGGGTTTATGAGTGAGTGCAAATGTGTATGTGGGTTTATGAGTGAGTGCAAACGTGTATGTGGGTTTATGAGTGAGTGCAAATGTGTATGTGGGTTTATGAGTGAGGGCATATGAGTTTGTGTGTAAAGGTGTGGCGTGCGTGTGTATGGGTGTGAGGGATTATTTTTCATGAATGTCGCCAGTTTTATGCTGATTGGTTGACAGGTAATCATGTCGTAACCCTAAAGGTCACAGTTGCCGAATTGAATGTGATTTAATTATTTTTAACTAAGCGACTCATTAAAGCGAATTGCTGTTATTTAAATAAAATCCACCACTTCATTGTTTCCTATCCTAATTCGTCAAATGTTAGCTTCTACCTCCATTATAATTTATTGGTCTTACAATAAACATAACATGTAATTAATCAATCTTCCCATAACCCCTAGTACTAGGGTCGTTGGGGCATTACTGTTGATTTTTACATAAATGTTACGCCATCTTTCTCAGTTTTCTGCTGCTTTTAGTAATTATGCGACGGACAGTCCATTCCATTCCTTAATAGCCTCTAATGTCGTCTTTACCAAACATTCCATAGTTACAATAGCGACAGTAACCCAACAACATGGAACTGACTTAATTGCCGGCCAACCCGCCGCCATTATCCAGAAAACATTTAGGAAAATATGTAGTTGCCTCTTTGATCAGCCTTTTTTTTAATGGTATCTTCGTGATATCTGTATAGACGGGCGTAATCTGCGTGTTGCCAGGTTTATTTGATTAGCTTCATCGGGGAGCATGAGGCAGAAAATAATAAGTTAGTTATATTCATGGGCGGCCCCGGGGTATGATTAAGGTGGGGGATGGGGGGAGAGATTTTTGTGATCTAGCGTCCCATGTACACATTAGATCCGCCAATGGATTTACGATAAAAAATATATTATTATTTATAGAGAAAATAAAACGCTATGCCATAAAATGTACTCTACGGTAATGTTGTATAGTTCAAAAATTGTTAAACTGGTTATTTTTTTTAATGAATAGAATGTTAATAACTTAAACAGACAAGTCAAGTCATATGATGTAGCAGGTCCGTAAAACTAGTTTTTTTTTTTACAATGTGGTTGAATCGACCACACGTGGAGAAGGGAATGTGTTCGGATCCCGGATCAAACAAGGCGTATCAGATGTCTTGTTAAGCTTTACGGCTGTTGGTTAGCGCGGTTTACAGCCGGCGAGTTAATAACCGTGGGACAAGCCTTTGATCGATGATTGGCAGAAATTGTGCAGCAAAGCCGACAAGATAAACTGATTGGTTGATTAAATTTGATAGGATTTGGTTTTTGATTGCTTTATTGATGCGCGGCTTTGTGAAAAATGAAGCACATTTTAGATGAGATATTTTACAAGGTAGAGGTATTTTTTGTGGTTAAATTTGTTTGTCTTTGTAGACATGTATATAAAACCCTAAATATAATTACTTAACCAAAACTTCATAAAAAAGTGCTCTTCAACCCAACTGGGCATGATTTAGTGTTATAGAAAGAGTGTGTTACTTGGGTGCGAAATTTATTTTTCCCTTTTCATTACTTTCTTTAATATCCTTCGACTTGAAAGAACAGGCCAACTTTAATTTTTTTGCAAGTAATACGTGCATATCATTTTTCTTTATAACCCCCGCCGCCCATCACCGCCCCCCCCCCCCGCCCCTCCCCACCTCACCGTTCCCTCACCCCCACCCCACGCCACTAGACTGAGTATGTCAGTGTCGACATAAGACTGACAGCTGTCGCGTTAATCCCGTGCCGTGGTCTACCGTTACCCCGGACCTATTTTGATTAGTCGTGTCCGATGTTTCTTGAGCCGTTTGTAAAAGACGTCACGGCGGGACATGATGTGGACGGGACCCGGCCAGGGGGAGGTCGACTCCGGTCACCTCAGGTCAGTCGTGTAGGGCCGGTGGGGGTGTACAGGAAACTCGGCCATGTGTACATGACAGGGTTTGGTCAGATGACTTGGTCAAGACGGACGAGACGCGTCATTATGGTCAGTTGAACACGAGCTTGTCCACGTCGTACTTTGATGTGCTCATTTTTTGGTCTGTCTCAGCTCACGTCAATCAGAGGACTAGGTGGGTGTAAGACAAGCCCGAACATACAACATACTCCATCTTTGTTTTTAACATACACCACACATACACCACAGGTACACCACACACATACCACAAGTACACCACACATACACCACAAACAACACACATACACCGCACGGCACACCACTCTAACACCACAGGCAGACCACAGTATCACCACATATACACCACAGGCGCACCACACAAAACGTCAGGTACCAGACTCCCCATCCACTAACCCAGGCGTATCAGATATACCACCCACTCTATTAATCATTGGATACCAGAATACTACCACTAGTCCTTGCCCCATGTACCATCCGAGAGGCTAATGATCCGCGCTGATAGGTTAGCACTTCTGTCAAGATTACGTAACTGTGAGGAATTGCTAGCCTCACATCACTGACCAACCCACAGGCTACTTGACCAGAATTCACAGACCAGAATTCCTAACCTCACATCACTAGACCAACCCACGGGCTTCTTGACCAGAATTCACAGACCAGAATTCCAAAACTCTCATCACTAGACCAACCCACAGACCAGAATTCCTAACCTCACATCACTAGACCAACCCACAGGCTACTTGACCAGAATTCACAGACCAGAATTCCTAACCTCACATCACTAGACCAACCCACAGACCTGAATTCCAAAGATCACATCCCTTAACCAACCACAGACACGAATTCCCAACAAACAGACATGACATTATTTTTCAAGAATAAATCTCAGCGGAGTATCTTTTCTAATTTGTTTTTGAAATTGGTTTTTGAATTTGATACAACTCCCCCTTCCGTCCTTTCTACCCCCTACCCCCCCCCCCCCCTACCCGACTGTGATCATTTCTCTGGGCAAGCTCTTTGCTTCACCGGTCATTGATCAACCCGCTTAAAATAAAATTGTATTCTTTTTTTCCTATTTCCACTGTATTTTTCTATTTGCCCTATGGGTGATATTTGGGACAGGGTTTTTTTTTTACCCAATCAGCAAGTGGAATCTTTTTGTTGAGAAAACATCTTAGGGTGATGTCACTTCCGTTTCCGCCATGTTTCTAAACATCACGTTCCAAGATTTTTTTTTCGTATGAATGTACGTGTTCTTCAGCTAGATGTTTAGCAGAAATGCTGTGCTATTTCATGGCGCCCAACGTCCGTGTCTAGATTTATTTAAAACGTAATATGGTGAGGTTGTTGGTCTTCTAATCTAGATAGACGTATGTTGTGTCCGTGTAGAAAAGTGAAGGTTGACCTTGTAGACCAAATCTGGACACAATCGTAGATGTAAATCCGATGTTCGAAACAAATCCTAAACGTGTCACTCTGAGCAGTGGAACAAAGATGTGTAATTAAACTATAACATTCATAAAATAAACTATTTTGGTAGGAGGATGAGAAAAATGTTCTAGGCGTACGTGTCCTGGGTTTAAGCCCTTGTGTTTCATCATTTTATTTATGAATATCTTTCTAAACCACGAATCAAGTCAGACTAATTTTAACATCTTTTTCTAATGTGGAATCAGACTCTCTATCGTCCGAATTCGCATCGGCCATCAAACAACATTTAATTACTTATTTATGGGTTCTGGTGTCATATATCATAGCCCAGACATCGAAGACATTCTCTGTTGTGATATGTCTGACCCCAGCCAAAGTGGAGACCTCTGTTGTGATATATCATAGCCGAGACAAAGAGAACACCCCTCTGTTGTGATATATCATAGCCGAGACAAAGAGAACACCCCTCTGTTGTGATATATCATAGCCGAGACAAAGAGAACACCCCTCTGTTGTGATATATCATAGCCGAGACAAAGTGGACACCCCTCTGTTGTGATATATCATAGCCGAGACAAAGTGGACACCCGTCTGTTGTGATATATCATAGCCGAGACAAAGACAACACCCGTCTGTTGTGATATATCATAGCCGAGACAAAGTGGACACCCCTCTGTTGTGATATATCATAGCCGAAACAAAGAGAACACCCCTCTGTTGTGGAGGTGTACACAAGCCACCCAGCAAGCTATAAAGATAGCAGTTTATGAAGGGATCAGGACCGTAGTAAATAGCGGGGCTGGGGGCCCTACTCGAGTCAACATAACGGTTTATTAAACACGGTCAAGTCGACGCCAGCGGCGTCTACCTGCCTGACAGCTCAACATCGATGGCGGTCAAAGGGAAGTAATTGTAAATTATGTGACCTACGATTTCATGCCCCTGTCCACTTACTCTCTAAGGGTAACTCTTCAATTTTTAATGAGATCTTGAGCAGCCTTACTTCCCCCCCCCCCTCCCACATTTCCCCGCCCAATTTACCTGTATACTTTTTAAAGCCTGGGCCTACTGTTTGCATTGAGATTACCTTTAAAATGAATTTAGTGTACTATTAGGGAAGGGGGGGGGGGCGGGCGGGTAGAGATAATTCTGAACACATTTAAGATAAAGAAAGTTTACCAGGTTAATTTTTTTTAAATATTATAGAACCTCTTTTGGTTAGAATATGTACCAAAGAGGCAGTGTTACATTTTGAAATTATTTTATTTGACTTTAATATTGACGAATAATTCTAGAATAGATACACATATGAAAAAAACAA